TCACGTGCCATGGAAGTGCTTTTTCCTCTGCCACAGGCACTCCTGCCGCCAGTGCCTTCTCATCCCCAAGGCTCAGCGCAGCTTCCTGCAGCTTGCTCCGACACACCTGAGCGGTGCGGCTGCAGCGCCCTGGACTCCTGCAACCGTTCACATGCCTCTCCATTAGGAGCTTGCATTTGTACGTCACCACTGGAGCCTTTCCACCCATTGTCTCCCTCTTCTGGATGTAGAACAGGCTCAGACAGGCCAAACAACTTGGCCGGTGCTGCATGGCACAGCTAGGTCCGCACTGACTGTCACACCTCTCTTCCTGCCCTGGATGGTGTCCCAATTAATACACTGCGCTGCTCCCTGATGCCATCTCCCCACTAGAACATGAATGCCCAGTTATCACACTGCGCTGCTCCATGACGCCATCTCCCTACTAGAACATGAATGCCCAGTTATCACACTGCGCTGCTCCGTGACGCCATCTCCCCACTAGAACGTGAATGCCCAGTTAATACATTGTGCTGCTCCGTGATGCCATCTCCCCACTAGAACATGAATGCCCTGAAGCAAAGACATCTTCCTGGCCACATGTTGACCCATGCACAGGACACTGCCTACAGTGCTGAAAGGCCATCAGATTGTCCTCTCTCGCCTGCCCCTGTGTGTCTAACCGTTTTCTCTCTTTAGGCTGGCAAGTGATGGAGACCATCCTAACTGTGCTAGATTTAAACCTTTCAGGCCTAGGCACAAAGAGAGACTCACAATTGTCTCAATGCCAGCTCTATGTGCCCAGGGCCATCCTGGGAGTCAGAATCCGCTTGAGGTCCTGGAGTCAGGGGGTGGGGTGGGGGGCTGTGTGCCTGTCACAGAGCACAGACAGACCGCTCCTGCTGCATCACTGTGGGAGCTGGGAGTTGTTCCAGAGACGATGGCACATTGTGAGCTGGTCGGGCCTTACACACGGTTTCCACCACCATGGCAGCTGTTGACCGAATGGTTTGGCACCATCTGGTTTTGCTACTCCAGTCTCATTCTTTTTATTTTTAAAATATAGGGCAAAATTAATATGTCTGAAATCACGGTATCACCAAATATTTGTCACCTCTTATTAGCAGTTTTATGCTCTTCCTGATGTTTGAGAAACCAGGAAATCAATAATCCACTTTAGGCTACAATCTAAAAAGTACCTGTGAGTGTCCTTTCTCAAATAGATTGGGCAGAATTAAATAAAACAAAGCAAGATTGTTTAAAGCTTCATTTTTAGTTGTACACAAGGACTATAGTCAAATGGGCTTCAAAAGCACAAAGGCTCTGGTCAGTCATCAGCCCTAGGACACCAGGACCAAGACCAGGCCAGTCTCAGCACAGCAGGTTGGCAGCACGCTCTGTAATTGGGGAGACAGAAATCCACACAGATTGCCCTGTGTGGCTGGAAAGGGAAAGGGAGGCTCTCCTGGCCACCGAGGCCCAGGGAGGCCAGCACACCCGTGTGCAGGTCACGTGACCCACCCCTCTGGTCCCACCCTTCTAGACACAGTCTTCTAGTCCCTGGGCATGACAGGAAGGGGGTTCACAGATCAGTGGCATTTACATGTGTAAGCTTTGAACACTCTCTTCAACTGAAAGCCCAGTGTGTGAAGAGGCTGGGCAGCTGGGCCACTCTGAGGCTGGCACATTCTCCTCCTTTTGGAAAGCCCAGTGTGTGAACAGGCTGGGCAGCTGGGCCACTCGGCACCTTCCCCTCCTTTCTGGCAGTTCCCAGAAGGCTTGAGATCACAGTTCGAAATCCACTTAATCTGTCGAGTCGGCCTGGGTCTATATCCTAAGATCATGGAAATCATTTTGTGCCACTGTGTCCTGTAGGCTTTGGCAGGGCCAGTGTAACTTTTAATTCTTCTCGTGGGGGCAGTCACAAGGTCATGCCATTTAACTGCACTGAAGGGAGAATGTGGTGAAATGGATTTTTTGGTGCTGTGTAGACCACATTTCATAGCGGTTGATGTCTCACATGCTTATGCAAAGCCTAACTCCTGGGGCAGACAGAGGGAGCCCAGTGGGATTCCTACACTCAAGCCCTCCAGCATCAGGTTTATTTTCCAGGACACCAAAGTGATCGTTTATTCCGTAATTCCCACAAAGGGGACGGTAAACAACAGAACAGAGGTGGGGCGGACACAGAAGGTCGGGAAGTAGATGGTTGCCAGCAATTCTGTGGAGACCCAGGGTCCCCCTCCAGGAACCTTGGTGTTCGACCTCCACAGTGAACAGGGGATGGATGGCTGAGATGTCCTCGAAATTTCTTCGGGCCTCCTCAGGCGACCACAGGATTCCTTCTCAAAGAGCCTGATCTCAACAGGCACCCAAATGGGTATCCTGGTGCTTCCTGCTCCACAACAGCTGGGAATGCTGTGTCCTGGCCCCAGGCGACTGGAAACTTTCATCCCTGACATCAGCACCAAGGGGAATGTTCTGAGTGCCATTCTTCCAAGTCAGGGAGAGTGTCACGATAGAAACTGTCTCTGTGGAAAGGATGGCATCTGAGGCCATGGAAAAGGAAGGGAGAATCAGAGGCTGCTGACTGGTCCTGCAGAGCCGCCTGAGAGGCTCGTGGGAGCAGCAGAGGGTCCCGGCCTTGGCCACCATCTGCTCTCCTATGCTCTGGAGGGAGAAAAAGAACAAGCTGAAATTTGCATAAGCAGCCTCCATTCTGGGGAGTTCCCTTGTGTTCCCTACACCAACCTGCATCTCAGTGAAGGCCTGTGGAAGACTGTTACAGTGACCGTCCTGATGAACCAAGCTTCCCGTGCCTGTCCCCTGCACAGTCCCTCACATCCATTCAGGCCCTGGCCATCTCACCTGCTTCTCCTGGGGAGATGGAGGGAAGCACCATGGAGATTTGCTTTCTCTTGCTGCCGATAGAGCCCAGCCACCATGGGAGGGAGGCCTGACCAGCCTGCGGTGGGTGGGTGATACGTGGCCCAGATCTGCTGGGGGGCCCCTGCCCATAAGTGGGTCCAGCAGACACCCCATGGAGCTGAGGCAAGCTGTCCCAGTTGAACTGGCTCAAGCTGCAGGCCCACGGGGTCATGAGCAGTGAAGAGAGGTTTCCGCCCTCTGAGGTTTGGGGGTGGCCTGTTACACAGAAATACACACAACGTCCTCATCCACGTATCTCTTTACTAAGAATGTGTCCGGAGAAGGCGTCCCAGGAGTCCTGATTTTTATTTAGTGGTCCATGGTTGCCCCTTTGGGTGCTTCGCCTTCAGATGGGGTAAAGGGCTCACTTGTTAGCTGGTTGGCCCCAAAGACAGGCTTGTTTTCCATCAGGCAGTGATGGAAGCCGGCAGCCTGTCGCAGACTGCGGGTCTCCCCCTGACCTGTCCTGGACTGCGGGCTGGCGGCTGACACCTGTGCTTACCACATACCAGGCTCCCATACTTCATCTGTGTTCATCTTTTAAGTTTTGTTGTTTTTCAGAGCCAGGGTCTCAGTGTTGCCCAGGCCGGAGTGCAGTGGCCATTTACAGGTGCGGGCCTCACACACCACAGCTCCAGCTCTGAGACACAAGTGACCCCTCCACCCCTATGACCCAGCCTCCAGAGTGGCTGAGATCACAGTTTGTGCCACCCCATCCCTGGCTTGTGATGGTCTCTTACTCCCCACTTTACAAGAGAGGAAACAGGCAGAGGGCAGAGTGGGCCGCCCGAGGTCTGGAAGCCAGGGCTAGCACAACCTCAACTTGACCCTGGAGCCTGCCGCTTCCCCCACCCAGGTGCAGGACCCACCCGCTTGTCCACACCCGGCTCTGCCCGCCGCCCCCGGCTGCTCCTCTGGGCTCAGGTCGCCGCAGTCAGGAGTTTCCCAACAAACTTTATCTTCGTGTAGAGAACTGCAGCCTGGAGCTGGTTATTCTGGTCTGTGAAAACGTTGCATCTCTACATATGCTTATCATCATCTGTGTAAACATTTCTTGGTATAACTGTGGAACAGTCAGTAAATATAGATAAATCGAGGAGTAAGTCTATTGCATACGCTGTAAAGAAAAAAAAAAAAAAAGCTTTAAAATGCTTTTACTATCAACCTAAAATAACAAAAAAATCAAACCAAACCACCATCACCTAAACATTGGTAATTGGGAGCAGCTGCTAGTGTCAGTGCGGACTAAATGGCACACGGAGGGAACCGCGTCCGGGGTCCTGGGCCGCGACCCGGTTCTCCCCGAGTCTACAGTGAGGATGACGGCCGGGGAGAGGGAGCCAGCGGGACAGCCGCGACCGCCGCCGGCCCCCAGCCCTGACCCAATGCGGGGCGGGCCCCGCGCGTCCCAGACAACTCCGGGAGCGGGGGAAGCAGGGGCGGCTCGGCGGGGGCCTGGCGGGGCGGCGCCCGCTGCAGGGAGGAGCGCGTGGGCCCGGGAGCCGGGAGCCTGGGCAACACCGCGAGACGCCACCTCCGCAAAACGCAAACGCCAATCGCCGGGCGCGGGGCGCCTGCGGTCCCAGCTACCAGGGAGGCTGAGGCGGCAGGATCGCGTGAGCTCGGGAGGCCGAGGCTGCAGTGAGCCAAGAGCGGGCCACTGCGCTCCAGCCTGGGCGACAGTGAGACCCCGTCCCCAAAACGCAGCAGCCGCGCACCCAGAGGACACGAAGGCGGGCAGGGTCTCCTCAGCGGTGCTCGGGCGGGCGGCGCCGCGACGCCAGGCCGGTCCCGCGCCCCCGCCCCACGCTCCAGTGCCGCCCAGCTGCGGTCTCTCAGCTCCGGCCGCGCTCCAGCCTCACCGGCCCAGCGCCCGTCCGCCGCAGGTGGTCGTGAGGGGAGACGCCACAGCCCAGCTGCCTACCACAGACAGGAACGCGCGAGCGCGCGCACGTCCGGCGTCGCTGCGCCGGCCCCGCCCCTCGGCGTGCGCGCGCCCCGGCGGGCGGGCGGGGGCGGGGAGGGGGCGGAGCCGCCGGCAGCCGGGCTGAGGCGCTGAGGCGGCCGTGGCGGCGGCGGCGCGCTGAGGCGGCCGTGGCGGCGGCGGCGGCGGCGGCGGCATCGATGCCAAGCGGCCAGGTCGGCGGCCGGGGCTCCGGGCCGCGCGAGGCTACGGCCACGCCGCGCCGCTGCGCACAGCCGACGAGGCAGAACGCCGTCCGGCGCGGGACTGCGGCCGGAGCCTGGGGCGCGCGGGCGGAGGACCAGGCGCGGCGCGGCTGCGGCTGAGGTGAGGGCGGCGCGGGGCCGCGGCGGCTCGGGCGGGCGCGGGCTCCGGACCCCGCGGCGGCGGCGTTTATGTAAGCGCCGGGCAGGGGCTGGCGGCGGGGACGGGGCTGCGGGCCGTCCCGGGAGCGGAGGGCGCCTGTGGGGAGGCGAGGCTGCCCCGGCACCGCCTCGCATCCACCCTCCCGGGGCGCCCGTCTGCTCCGGCGCTCGGCCCCCGGAGGAGGCTGCGCCCCGGGCGGCCCCGCGTCCCCTCCCGAGGGCGCCGAGTCCGCGTGGGATGCGCCGCGCCGCGGGGAGGGCAGGTGCGTCCGGACGAGGCTGCGCCCTGGGGACCGAGGCTGCGTTTTGGGGAGGGGACGGTGTGCCCCGGAGATCGGAGGCTGCGCTGGGGAGGAGGCTGCCCCGGGTACAAGGCTGCGCTGGGGGACGGGAGGCTGCGCCCGGGGACGGGAGGCGATGTCCCTGGGGAGACGCTGCGCCCGGCATGGGACGCTGCGCGGGGGGGACGCCAGGCTGCCCCCGGGATGAGGCTGGGCCCGGGCAGGGAAGGCTGCCTTGTGAGGAGGGGACGCTGTGCCCCGGGAGTGAAGACTCTGCGCTGGGGACGAGGCTGCGCCCTGGACGGTCCTGCGTCTCCTCCCGAGGGCGCAGTGTCCGCGCGGGATGCTCTGAGCCGCGGGCGGCCCGGGGCTGGGAGTTCCTGCGGGTGCCGGGCGTCTGCAGCGATCGGGAGCAATCTGGGGCAGTTGGGGGCCCGAGGTGACTTTTGACGTGTTCACATGAGGAGAAGGAAAATTACTGCGTGGTGGATGGGTGCGAGGGAAGGTGTCATATTGGACTGTGGACGCTGAAACGTGTTGGAGTCCCAGTTTACGCGCTGGAGAACCTAACCTAAAATGTGTTCCTGTCCAGATTTCTGTGTCGGAGATCTGCACCGTGGTGTTTAGCTCGCAGTTAATATTTTTGGGTAGCAGGTTTGGGCTGTTACTTCTGATACAGGCATTTTATTTCCTTCTTACACTAACCATTATTGCATTCCATTCTCGAAGTATAACGAAAAGTGGCGTGATATCAAACTTGTTTCTTTACGTTTAGTTCCGTGATTAAGATGATAGAACCGTAGTTTTTTAAATTGAGAATACAAATATGTATTTAATCCTCTTTGTTTCCTCTTAAATTTAGCCGTATGTTTTATTGCTTCGAAAGGTGACACCCAGAGCTGCATTTTCCAAAACACTAGGCTGTCTTAAGAGCAGTTGTTCCTAGGAGATAGAAAAACTAATTGTCTTTTGATGACCATCTTTTCCTTGGGATTGAGACTGCTGTATCCTTTTTGCCTGCTGAGGGTTTCCCAGAGGGGAAAGGGAGAAGGAAGAAAGGGTAAAAGGTTGGCTGAAACAGTTCGTTCTTGGATAAGAAAATTAACTGTCTCTCATTGGGCGGTTCCTCCAGAGGGCAGGGTCCACTATGCATGGGCAGCCACAACAGGGGTTTGATAAATATTTGATGAGACAGGCTGAGCTGGGTGCCTATATCTTGCCTGTGGTGGAGAGGATGAACTCACACAAGCTTTGAAAGGAATGCATTGTCTGTGAGTGATGCCCTGTTAGATGTCTGAGGGTTCCTAAGACTGGGTATATCCCACTACATCTACATCAAATTTGAAGCTTTAGTTGGAAAGGAAAAAAGGAGGCCCTCCTGCAGGGACAGGGGCTTAAAGAGAATCGATCTAGCTCTGAGAAACTGATGACCCATGTGTCTCTGGTGTGACGTGTTCATGCAGGGAGGCCAAGGGGGAAGGATTAGCTATGAAGTGATAACATCATCCACAAAAAACATCGTGGCTCAGAGGCTAATTTCACTTCCTTGTGAATTTATGTGTTGTAAAGTATTTGAATTCTTTTAGATTTTTGGAATAGGAATTTTTTTTAACTTCTATTTGTCCAGTGAATGCATAAAACAAACTTAATTGATTTGACAAATACTTGTCTGTGGCTTGTTATGTGCTAGACCCTCCCTGTTTTAGGCCCTAGGAGATGCAGTACTTAACAAGATAGGTAGAGATCAAAAATGCTTCTGGCATAAAGCAGTAGATTTGTATTGATAGGTTTAAAAAGATCAGCATGCACGCAATACCTACAGAAAGGTAAAACCTCATTCCACTCCGTCCCTGGGCACTTGGTTCAAAGGCTGCACCCAGTTGTGTATTGTCCCAGCAGGAGTCAAAGTATGTACGCAGTTGTATATGTTTTAATATATGACAAACATTGCTACAGTGGATATTCTTACACATGGGTACAAGCAAAGCCTACTAATTATTTATTATCAAAATTTATTAGCTGTACGTTTTACTTAAGAACTGGGTTTTATTCTCTTGAATGCTGTGATTAGCTCTGTGATCAAGTAATATAATTTAAATAGATAAGAGGTAGGTAACTTTGGAGAGTAATAGATGAAGTTATACATTTACCAGCCTATAAAAAAGTTAAGCAAAGTTATCAAGCTTAGTTTGAAACCAAAAAGCTCAGAGAGGTCTAATTTTATTAGAAAACTCAATGGTTTTCTGTGTCAAATTTCTAAAATAGGAATTTCTAAATCTGTAATTTGGTGTGCTGGAAATGGTAGTGTTAAAAAAAAAACCTATATTATATTGTATGTTCATAATACGCGAGGTAGGAAAAGCAAATAGGAAAATTAAAAATTGTCCAGTGAAATCATTAAGATTTCTTCCTTATTCCTTGAGCGACTTTTCTTTCCAAGGCGACAACTTTTTATCTCAGGTGTGGACAGGGACAGCGCGGTAGCCCACAGAGGTCTTCGTGGCAGGGTCTTACTGCACCTTCCATTTGCAGAGTTTTGCTTCATCCATAGCTTGACAGCTGTTGGGCTAGGACCATTAATACCAAATTATCACTTTTTTTTTTTTTGTAGTTTGATTAGTACTGCTTACTGCACTTCTCCACCTGTATACCTATAAGATGTCCTAGGCATATACAAAGAAAAGTGACTTTGGTTTTAGGTTTAACGTCTTTGTGATGGAACTGGAAGGGGAGTGAAATAACTCTGAGATACCTTGTATTTTTATTGGAAGTACAGTGAAATGGAAGCTCTACTTGCTTCTAGTTTGGTGATTTTGGAACCTGGTTCTATTTCATTTGCTTATTGATCCAACAGGCATTCACCCATGCATCCTGGCCCGGGTACTGTTCTAGGTATTGGAGATTCAGGATGAGCCTGATGAGGAGAGTTCCTGCCCTCGAGCAGTTCATTTTCTTGGGAAGGAGAAGAGCAATAAACAAGCATCTGGTATCCTGACTGCTTCGAAGGGCAAATGAGGCAGGGTAGGTGAGAGAAGGTCAAATAGGTGATGAGGATGGAGCGAGCTGGGCTGAGGTCGTGGCAGCAGCAGCCTTTCAGGCACAGGGACCTCTTAGGTGAAAGCCTTGGTTCCTGAGCCTCCTTGTAGTATGCTGGTCACCTCAGGGAGGCCATTGCTGCCAGAGAGCTGGGCGAGTGGCAGGAAATGAGACGTGAGTGGCAGAGAGCTGCATCTTGGAGCACACAGGCTGTGGTAAGGAATTTAGATTTTAAGTGTGATGGGAAGCCTTAAGAGACCCTTCCTTCCTTCCTTGGGAATGACATGATCTGATTTATCTTTAAGAAGTACCACTCTGGCTGTTGGGCTTATGATATGCCAGGCTGTTTTAAGAGCTTTACATATATTAATTCACTTATTCTTATGGCAGTCCACAAAGTAGGCATTATTATCATTATTCCCATGTTATAGGGGGGAATACCTAGGCACAGAGTGGTTAAGTGATTTACCCAAGGTCACACAGGAAGTGGCAGTGGTAAGATGTACCCTTACCTCCTTACTGCAGCTTGCTTTTTTCACCTCCACTACTGCAGACTGGAGGAGGAATATCAGCAAGGAGATCATTTAGACTTTTGTGAAAGCTAGATGACTGTACCGGCACCTCAGACCAGGGCGGAAGTGGTGAGATCAGATTCAGCCTACTGAATTTCAGCATTTGTAAGATGCCATCATTTTTAAGTTGCATTATCATTTTTTATGCTACTAACAAAGGGAAAATGTAGCCAGGTAGATTGTGACACAGTGCTTTCTTGTTACCCAGCATTCATTTATACTCATTGAAAGAGCTTAGACTAAGCATTGACTTTTAAAATCTTATCATTCATGCACTTTCACAAAAAGGAAAATACAAGTGAAATAAAGTAATTCTGAAATTTCTTCACATCTAGAATCTGATTCTTCCAACTCAGCTTTTGACTTGGTGTTGGTGCCAGGTATGAGATAGGGAAGTCTGGGAAGAGCCAGTGTTAGGATTTGAACATGTGGAGCTTGTGACTCTGAAAGGCAGCCCAGCTCAGCAGCTCCACTCAAGGGCCAGATCTGGAGGATGAGGGTTGGGTCATTGTGCAGCTATTTCCTACATGATCTTGAGCAAGCAGTCTAATCTTTCTGTGCTTCAGTTTTCTCATCTATAAATTAGGAAGAATAAAAGCAACTTGTCAGAGTTGTTGAGTTGCTAATGTAAAGTGCCTAAAATAGTACGTGACTGACAGTATTTAACGGGGCTTACTTTGCTTATTATTTTTATGATTAGTCATCTGAGTAGAGAAAGGTGAATATGGATGGAAATTCAAGGTCAGGTTCAAGAAGAGGTTGGGGCCAAGTGTGTAAATTTGGGAGTCATTTGCATATTGCTGATCTTTGAGGCATACAGTATGGATACAGAAGAGCGGGAGATGAGGAATGACCTGGGAGCTTTTGGCAAGGCGTTCACATTGGGAGGGAGGGTCTAGCAATACCATTGAAAAGGGCTCTGTTTGAAGAAAGAAGAAACTAGTGAGAGTCTAGTGGCCTGGAAACCAAGACACCAAGGGGTTCTTATTCTTCATTAGCTGGAGAGTTTCCTGTTGGCTTTGATAAGAGGTGGTTGTGAGTGACCTTGATAGGTTTGGAGTGGTGGGGAGAGG